GGCTGACCCTGCTTAGCTTCTGAGATCTGATGAGATTGGGTTTACCTGGGCTATCCAGGTCAGGACTAGAGAGGACTTAGCAGCCTTTGTATATGGCAGTTGCACTGGGCCATGTCTATGACTGAACAACAAATCATGGGATAAAAGGACAAGTCCTTTTGTGGATCAAAAACTGGCTAATTAATAGAAAACAGAAAGTGAGTATAAATGGGCAATTTTCTCAGTGGAGACAAAGTTGTTCGGGGTGGTGAAAACCAGTGAGGATTGTGAGGCACTCCAAAGGGATCTGTCAAAGTTGGGCGAGTGGGCGTCAACATGGCAAATGGGGTTCAATGTGGCCAAGTGCAAGGTGATGCACATTGGAGCCAAAAATCCTAACTATAAATACACGTTGATGGGGTCTGAACTGGCAGAGACTGATCAAGAGAGAGATCTTGGAGTTGTAGTGGATAACTCACTGAAAATGTCGAGACAGTGTGTGACTGCAATAAAGAAGGCCAATGCTATGCTGGGGATTATTAGGAAGGGTATTGTAAACAGATCAGCCAATATCATAATGCCGCTATATAAATCAATGGTGCGACCTCATTTGGAATACTGTGTGCAGTTCTGGTCACCACACCTTAAAAAGGATATTATAGCTTTGGAAAAAGTGCAGAAAAGGGCAACTCGAATGATAAAGGGGTTGGAACACTTTCCCTATGAGGAACGGTTAAGGCGCTTAGGGCTCTTTAGCTTGGAGAAACGACGACTGAGGGGTGACATGATTGAGGTTTATAAGATTATGCATGGGAAAGAGCAGGTAGAGAAAGAGGTACTTTTCTCCCTTTCTCACAATACAAGCACTCGTGGGCACTCCATGAAATTGCTGAGCGGTCGGGTTAGAACGGATAAAAGGAAGTACTTCTTCACCCAAAGAGTGATTAACACATGGAATTCACTGCCACAGGAAGTGGTGGCGGCTATAAGCATGGACGGCTTCAAAAGGGAATTAGATAGGCATATGGAGCAGAAGTCCATCAGTGGCTATTAGCCACAAGGTATAGATAGGGGCTCTGGGGCAAGTGATGCTCTGCCTTCTTGGTGCTTGGGGGGGGCAACAGTGGGAGGGCTTCTAATGTCCTGGTCCCACTGGTGGACCTCCTGATGGCACTGGTATTTTTGGCCACTGTATGACAGAGTGTTGGACTGGATGGGCCTTTGGCCTGATCCAACATCGGCGTCTCTTATGTTCTTAACACTGTGTCATGCTCCAGGACACTACCCAAGATGTACCATGCAGTGCATGTGTGTGTGTGTGTTACGGACTGTCAAGTTGCTTCCAATTTATGGTGACCCTATGAATGAATTACCTCCAACATGTCCAATAATTAGTACAAAGTTTGAGTCCAGTGGCACCTTTAAGACCAACAAAGTTTAATTCTGCGTATAAGGTTTTGTGTGCATGCACACTTCGTTGTATCTGATGAAGTGTGCATGCATATGAAAGCTTATATCCAAAATTAAACTTTGTTGGTCTTAAAGGTGCCACTGGACTCAAACTTTGTTCTGTTGCTTCAGACCAACACGGCTACCCTCCTGAATCCATGTCGTATCATTAACATCCTTACTCAGGCCTTGCTGTGGCTTCCTTGAGGGCTGTGGCTTCCTTGATTGAGGGCTGTGGCTTCCTTGATTGAGTCAAACCATCTCTTATTGGGTCTTCCTCTTCTCCTGCTGCCTTCAACTTTTCCTAGCATTACTGTCTTTTTCAGTGACTCTTGTCTTCTCGTAAGGTGACCAAAATGTGATAGTCATTTTAGCTTCTAGGGAAAATTTAGGCTTGATTTGATCTGGAAGCCACTTATTAGTCTTTTTGGCAATCCACAGTATTTTTAAAACTCTTCTCCAACACTACATTTCAAATGAATCAACTTTCTTCCTGTATGCAGTGCATACAGACATTAAATCATCCTAAACAATAGTTAGCATTGAGATAGCACACTTCTTTCTGAGTTGTACCACTTCAGACTGTAGATGAGGATTTATGATTGAATATTCCTCCATATACAAATGTTCCTTATACATAAAAACTCTTGATTTATTATTTTCACTTTTAGTCCACCTTTCTTACCAAAACGGAAGAAAGATTACAAGCAGCATGTAATCAGATTACAAGATAAATAATATTTTAATCTAACAGCAGAGATTCCTAGTAAGACCTGCCAAAAAAAATCACTGTTGGGCTGGATTGCAGAATAAAGGAAAACTCAGAACAACTCATGCAAACATATGTGCTTAAATCACCTCCAGAGCTGAACCATTACATTATACCTTTACTCCTTCTGGAAGAAAGCCCTCTTGAACAATTCTGTTTAGATGTGAGGGAGAAGGATTCTGTGCTAGTTCTCTTTATGGAGGAGCAAGTATGGGTGTGAATGGCATTTTTGCAGTTTGATTTGTCGTTAAGCCACGAACCAATATGCCAGTTTGTGAACCAAACCATTTTGTATCAGTTCATGATCCATTTAAACCCCTGCTTTTTGCTCCCTGCTGCTTTTTTTGCAGGGAGCAGAAAGCAGTGGTTTAAATGGCTCCAAGCCATCTAAACCAAACAGTGCTCCCCACCACTCAGCTGTTTTTCATAAAGAGCCCTGCTTTCTGCTCTTCATGAACCATCATAAACTACATCAAAATTTGTGGAAGTTTGTGATGGCTCTTCAGTTTGTGAACATTGCTTTGCAAATCACGAACCAGCCAAAGTTTGTGACTAACTTTAGTTCATGAGTCAGTTTGTGCCCATCCCTATGGAGGAGCATTCAGCCATGATATCCCTCACCTGCTATCTGAAGTGGCAGAGCCCAGAATGTACTACCAAGGCCAGTTTCTTTTTGCTTCTAAATAGCCAGTTAAATTACTTTCTCATATTCACACTCAGTTGTCTCACCCATTGTTTGCCTCCAAGCCAAGGCTTTATTTAACTCCCTGTTCAACCTTTCTTTTGGGTGTGTGGTAGGCTGCAAAATTTTATCTCTCCAGGGATAACAAATCACCTTGGTGAGCAGATCCCTACTCACTGTTTTCGCTTGCAGCTATGAACTGAATTATTTACACCCACTGTGCCCCCTTGTGGCAGCTGGCACTGAGCATGCATAATATAAATTCACTAGTCTTCATACCAGTTAATCTCATTCTGAATTTGGCCCCAGAGTGCACTTAAAAAATCTGCACAATGATGCCTCTACAAATTGGAAAGGAAGCCCTGGGTTTCTAGGAAAATCCCCCAAATTTAAAAAATACACCCCCAAAAGAGAAAAGCAGTGTATGCAGGTGCAAACACTCTTAATAAACTAAGATCTCACAAGATCATGGTCAACATTATGGGTTGCTTAGAAGCACCATACTGAGGTGTTTTAAAAAGTAAATGGCTAAGGGTGAGGAGAGGAGGTGGGGGACAAAAAAGCAGCAGCAGGGGGAGAGAGAGAGAGAAATGGTGATGGGAGTGTTGAGGGGAAATCAGTGATGGGAGAAAGAAGGCAACAGTGGTGGTGGAGCAAGAGGAAAACAAGAGGGGGATGAAGTGGGGGCCAGAGAAGGAATACGGTTTCCTGTCTCCTGCAAGTCTTTGTGGATCCCCTTATTGTCTCTCGCTGTTGAACAACTTGGGGAAAGTAATAAAAGTATACAGCAGATTTTCAAAATGTAAACAAAAGGGAATTTTGACAACATTTTATACTTCAAAATAGATAAACTGCTGTTTTCCCTGATCAACACAAAACTATGGGAAATAGTAAGGGAGACAAACCTCCACTGCCTGCCATTTATTTAAAACTGCTGTTATTCCATCTGATTTTTCTGAAATTTGGGCAGCCTATATCCCTTACCCAAGGGACCATCTCTACCAGATTTCATAGGACAAATGCACATGACTTTAGGAGGAGTAGAATTTACACATTTGTAAGGAAGCCTTGTACGCTGGCTACAGAGCTGCTTCTGTTATATATACAAACCTGAATTGCCTGTTTGGATCACAATTACAGATATTCTTGATACAGTGATTAGGTTTCCTTGGCACAGAAGTGCTTTTTTAATGTCCAGAATACAGGTAGTCCTGAAACTGTAAAGCATGTGTGCCGTTGGAGGGTATAGTGTCGCTGGACAACAGCTAGTTTTGCAACAGTGCTTTGAGTGGACGTGAGTACTGACATGCAAACACCCATTTCCACCACCAAAAATGTTGTAGTCAGTCCAACTTTTATATTTGGTGCTTCTTCCATACCCTAATTTGGGCTGGCAGCTATGAGTCAAAAAAGCATCCTTATGGGGGAGGCATTTGATCTAATGCCTGCCAACCACACATACTTCGTTCTCTCAACTGCTTCATTCACCAGGGTGTGGAGGAGGGTGAAACCCACCTTTAGTAAGCAGATTTCCCCCCCCTGGAAGTTTTGCCAGCCCTGTGTAATATTAAAGCACGACAGTTCTCTTACATGTTGTTGAAGGCTTTCCTGGCCGGAGTTCATTAGTTGTTGTAGATTTCCCAGGCTGTATAGCCGTGGTCTTGGCATTGTAGTACATTGTAGTACAATGCTGCTGGCGAAACGTCAGGTACTACAATGCCAAGACCATGGCCATACAGCCCAGAAAATCTACAACTATTCTTACCGTTTTGAAGTGTTTCTAAAAGCAACACTCTTAACTGTAGAAGCAAGGCATTCTTTATTACGCAGTTCATGCAAAATCATCATTCATTGTGGGCCTTCAGAAGCCAGGGCTTTTGGAAAATCAGCTTACTGCTAAGGAGTTGCAAGTACACAAGAACTGGATTGCTGTTATTGATAGCAAGACCTCCTGTTACTATTGCTGGGAAATAGGCTGTGGCATAGTGCTAAACAAGTTTTGACCCACAGCTAAGAGACACCTGAATGGCATTGGCCTGGAGACAATTTTTTTTCTCCTCCAATGTTTTCTCTTTTAAACTATGGATATCACTAAATGCAGTTTTTCTCTTTCTTTTATAGGACTGTTATTCTGAGTGAAGGACCTTGCAAGCGCCACTAAGCAGTTATCATGGGCTTAATTGCATTTCTGAAGACCCAGTTTATTGTTCACCTCCTGATTGGGTTTGTCTTCGTTGTGAGTGGGTTCATCATTAACTTCATCCAGCTATGCACACTACTCCTCTGGCCTATAAACAAGCAGTTTTATCGACGAGTAAACTGTCGCCTTGCCTACTCATTGTGGAGCCGTGAGTATGCTATAAATTCTATCCAGTAAACAAGGGATGTTGTTTGCCCCTTTGCCCCTGAGGTCCTCAGACTGTGGGACATGGTTTCCTGGGAGTAGGAGGGACCTGAGGAGGCAGGTGTGCATGCAAGTGCTGGGGCAGTGGGAGCGACATGTAGCTGTCACTCATGGGAAGACAAGCGATGTCTGGGGATCACTTCTGCAGGCAACCGTCTTTTTTCCTCTCCCCAGTCTCTCTTTCTCTCTCCAAAGCATATTCTGTGTACCAGTAGGTAGAGAGAGAGTGAGGCAGGCTCTGAGTGGTCGTTTGGTAAGAAGCACCTGGAGGAACACACTATTCCACTCTTGAAGTTAGAGCTGGAGCAGTTGTGCGAGGATTTGTTACTGTTTCTTCATTTCCTGCCCCTCTCAACTCCGCAGAAAACCACTTGTCTGCACAGCTGAGGTAGTGCCTTCTTCCTTCCACTCAGCAGGTATGCCCAAACAGACAGCTCTTTCTCTCCTTTCTCTCCCGCATTAGTACTACCAGCTCTAACAAGCCTCACTCCAACATCTCTCCCTGCTGGAGAAAAGGGGTTTCTTTTCATTCTTAAAAATCATTAATGGAATCTTAAATACCTCTGAGTTTTGTGACTTTGGGACATAAGTTGTTAATTTGGACCAAGAGTTTTAAGGGTCTTGCAAATACACGCCTACATTCTTATTTAGAACCTGGCCTAACGAAATGGGACTATTCTCTTATTTGAAAAAATATTAAGGAGAAAGACATTGCAAACTTTTCCAAAAGAATCTTTTCAGCTTGGCCTGCAGTAAAGCTATTTGCTGCTGTTTGTTCAGCTCAGCAGCCTAAATAGATCAATTTGGCCTAAACTCAGGGGTCATCTGTGGCCAGAGCACGCCGGAGCACTGCTCTGGCAGCCCAGAAGCTGGCACTAATTGCAGTGGCGGCAAGCCCCACCCCCAGCTCCCCGCGCCAAAGCGCTGCAGCCCAGGGGAGGCCTGAAGAGGCCCGTCGCCGGTTTCCCGGGGCCCGCACTGGAGCGCTGCTGCCCTGAGGAGGCTGGTCTCCTGGGGCCCGCTCTGGAGTGCTGCAGCCCGGGGAGGCCTGAAGAGGCCCGTCGCTGGCCTCCCGGGTCCTGCTCTGGAGCGCTGCAGCCCGGGGGAGGCCTGAGGAGGCCCGTCACCGGCTTTCCGGGGCCCGCACTGGAGCGCTGCGACCCGGGGGAGGCCTGAGGAGGGCCCGTAGCTGGTCTCCCGGGCTCGTGCTGGAGCGCTGCAACCCGGGGGGAAGCCTTGATCACAGTATGTGAGGGTTCCGCGGGGGTGGGGAGGGTGGGGGTTTGATGGGGGGGGGGGAGAGC